TGGATGCTTGTGGTTACAACAGCTCATGTTTCTTGAACCTTTATAATGTGCCAGGCCCTGCAGTAAATGTTTGCTACGTGTTACCTGACTTAATGTCATCATTCCCTGCTGCGGTTTGCTGATCCTGCATTAGTGAGCATCCCTTTTCACCCACAGCTTCAATGTCCTTGCCCTCTCCCCTGTCATTCATTCTCAGAAAATATGAGTCTGGCTAACCCTAACCTCCCCTTTTCTCCAAATCACACCCTCCCAACAATATGGAAAGAGAACACACAACTGTTTTGATGAGTCTCACCTTAAATTCAAAACAGCCTCATACTGTGGGACATGTAGTGGGTAGCTGTTCTGTCTATGACCTTGAAGCACGGCCTCTAGAGAGGCAGCAGGTAACTGCTCCACCTGCCTATGACCTTGAAGTACATGTCCCAGGGGCATGGCCTTGTGGACCCTTAAGCCCTGGGATGCACATAGGAATCACATGTGCTCTCTCTCTCCCTCTCCCTCTCCCTCTCCTTCTCTCTCCCGTCATGGTTTTTGGAAGTTGAGACAGACCAGGTGGAAGAACAGCGTGGACCATAGCTCGGCTTTCCAGGACCCTGAGATAAATCTCCCGGGCTGTACTGAGTTTTATTCCTAATAAATTTCTTGCCCTTTAAACAGACTCCGTGGATTTATCACATTAGGTACACATTTAGGAGACTAAAGTAGAAGGACCACCCTTACAAAGGAAATTCAAGGACAGCTGTGGAGCCGGAAAGATGGCTCAGTGGTTAAGAGCATTGGCTACTCTTCCTGAAGAACTAGGTTCAATTCCCAGGACCCACATGGCTCCCCACACTCATCCACAACACCAGGTTCTGGAGACCTAGGAGAGAGCCCAGACCACCCAATGCCAGCTTTTCACCCTGCGTGTCTGTCCGAATCTGCCTTTTCTTCAGTCTCTCTCACCAACCCTAGCCAGATCCAAGTCCCTGGAATTGTGCATGGATGTAAAACCTGTTCTTATAAAAAAGAAAGAAAAAGATAAAGAGTGATCGAGAAAGGCAACTGATATCAACCTCTGGCCTTCACACACACACACACACACACACACACACACACACACACACACACACACGAGTCTACAAATCTCAAATGGAACAAAACGTACCCTGGTGATCCTGCTAGCTCCCTTTAGGCCCCAATTCATTTTGGCTAGTTCAGAATCTGAGTGCTAGAGGCGGCAAAAGACATCAGAGAGGCTCCAAGCACCAGGTCACGAAGGCCCTGCCAGGATGTTACTTTCCTCGGGCTGGGAGACACGATAACCACCAGAAAGTTCTGGATAGAACAGGAATGCAGTCTGGCTTAGATTATAGACTGGAAAGGACCAGGGCAAAAGAACCAATAGAGGAGGTCATTGTCATCATCCAAACAAGAGACAGTGTTGGCTAAAACCAGGTGGTCACAAGGAGGGAGGGGAAAAATGATCTGATTGGGATTGAGACTTTGAAAAATTTATATATTAGCTCCAGTTGCTGTGTGTGCGTGGAGTCCTCGGGGTTTTCTATATATAGGCAAAGATTTAAAAACAGTGCTGACAGTTTTACAGCAATTTGACCGTAATTAATGACCCTGAACTACACATTTAAGCGCTTAAAAGGCTCTGTGTGTGTGTGTGTGTGTGTGCGCGCGCGCGTTGAGATAGAATAATATCATCTATCCCAGGCTGGCCTAGAACTGGTTATGTACCTAATGATGACCTTGAACCCCTGATCCTCCTGCCTTTACCTCTCAGATGCTGGCAACACAGAGCCTGGCACCATTCCAACTTAGTTTTCATATCTTGAAAATGTGATGCTCTTAACAATATGGTAGTTGCAAGGACTGAATAACTGGCCATATGTAACACACATGGGCATTGTTGGAGAAGATAATGGTGGGACTTGGCTGGGAATCCTGGATCATCAGTGCATATTTTGTACTGGAGAGGTCTTTAAAGGGCCTAAAATGATTTAAGTTGAACACATTAACAAGTACCATGTAATGCCTGGTAAATACATATGTTGTATAATGTTCTAATAATGTTAAATTGTCTATATCCTCAAAGATTATCGTTCCTTTACTGAGAAGCTTCAGAACCAGTCAGTTTGGTGGTTCATGCCTGCAATTTTAACACTGTCGGAAGGATCACTGGGGGTTTAAGGCCAGCCTGGGCTGCGTAGTGAGTCCTGACCAGGTCAGTAAAAGTTACTTAGCAAGACCCTGTCTCAAAGAAACAAAGGAAGGAAAGAAAGGAGGGAGGGAGGGGGAAAAAGCTAAGCCATCCCAAGCCAGGCACACATCTGTAATAGGATCAGGAATTCAAGGCCATCCTCGGCTACAGAGTGAATTTGAGGACAGCCTTGACTACTTGAGACCCTATCTCAGAAAACAACTTCGAAAATGTTTTTATGAAATGTTTAGCATAGGATTGTGGTCTACAGTTACCCTGCTGTGCAATGGTGACCCACAGCTTCCTGATCCTGCTTTACTGTACTTCAGTGGCCATTGTTCAACCTTTTCCCATCCCCCCACACATACCCCACTCACCTCTGACAGCTGCCTTTCTGCTCAAGCACTATAAAATGAACGGTTACCTTCTCTGAGTGAGTGAGTGAGTGAGTGAGAGCTTGCAGCATCCATCTCTCTGTCAGTGACAGTTTTAAAGCCGTGTCCTTCTCAGACACTGCCTGACAAGAGCTAAGCTGCCTGGGGTTAGGGATGGGTGATGGAGACAGTTGTAGATGTAACCAACCATCTTATTAAATAAGAAACACAGAACCAATGCAAAGAAGAAAGCCAAGAGGTCAGAGCTAAGAGCTAAAACCTTACCCTCCCTCCTGCGGTGGTCCTACCTCTCCAAAAGAGAGCTACTTCCTGTGTTAAAGTCTTTATAGAGACTTTCTGTTCTGCCTTCTCATTGGTTGTAAACCCAACCACATGACCGACTCGTCACTGCCTGTCTGTACAGACCTCCAGGTCTTCTATGGTTGGTATTGAGATTAAAGGCGTGTGTATCCAATGCTGGCTGTATCCCTGAACACACAGAGACTTACCTAGCTCTGCCTACCAAGTGCTGGGATTAAAGGCATGCACCACCACTGCCTGGCTTTCCTATGGCTTGCTAATAGCTCTGACCCCTGAGCAACTTTATTTATTAACATACAAATAACATTTTAGTACAAATAAAATATCACCATAGACAGTCCCTTGGTCACCAAGGTGGTTGGTAAGCATGACAACATCTGAATCTCACAGTGTGGGTGACCTGCACAGTCTCGGGAGAAGGATGGGTGTCCCCAAACCCACAGCAAGCGGGGAAACGCCTTGGCAGAGATGGGAGTCTATCTCACCAGCACACAGATCTCCATCTCTCCGTCGGATGCTAAACCGGTCCAGGGGGTTCCATCATGAACCCGGGGATGTACGTGGGACCTCAGTTCCTATAAGGCATTGGATCTCACTGTGGTAGGCCTGTCTATGCTGACTTTCATGCTCTGTTCCTCCCCATTGGTAATACCTTAGTCTACACTCTACAGCCTCATGTTGCTGAGAGAGGAGTGTTGGCTGTGTCAGTGACCTGAGCCTAAAATGGTTTCAAAGGCTCAGTGTGGTTATTGACTGAGCAGAAGTTCCATGGCTTTGCCCAGAAGTCGGTTTCCCCATGGTGAGCCTGGTACTGGCTTCCAAGATGGGAGTCCTGAGCATAACTCCCTCTCCATCCTCCAAGCTGTAGGTGTCTCCTACCATGCTGCTAGGACCCCCCGATGTGTCTTTTCCTTTTGTTTGGCTAACAGCAGGCAGCATGCTCTCTCACCTGACTGCCTTCACTTTGGGGAAGTCAGTTTGGTGTATGGGAAGCAGGTCTGACTTGATATGTCTGTGGAGCAGGCTCACTGGAGGACCTTACTGTCTTTCTCTGACCCCAGCACATCCTTAACAAAAGGAAGTGTAGAGTGCATGGCCACGGGGGTACCAGCCAGAGTCATAGGTGAGTCACCCATCCCTTAACCAGGCTGCTTAGTTCTTACCAGGCCAGTGTCGGAGGAACTGTCACTCACAGAGGGACGGAGACTGCAAGTGCCCATTCACCCAGAGAAGGTAAGAGTTCATTTTATAGATGTTGAGAAGAATAGCAGATGCTTGGAGACAACTCCCCTCGTGCTTCTCTGTTCTCACATATAAAAAGGAAGCATTCAGTGTTTGCCCGGAGAGGAGACAGGATGAAACAGTCACCTAAGAGAAAGGAAGAGGGAATGGAACTAGAACAATGGTCTCACTTCGAATTCACACATCAGACTCACCCAGACGGCCTAACAAAGCCGAGTGGCAGACGCAGGAGGGCCAAGCTGGGGCCTGGGAATGTTGATCACTTAGAAATTCCCAAGTGGTACCCGTGTTACTGGTCCAGGGGCCACATTTAAGAGCCGTTGAACAAGAATACAGGAGGCTTGCCCAGCTTAGCGGAAGGTTTGCAGTCGGCGAACGCATCTCAGGGTGGTGAGTTCACCGGAAGGCTATCACTGCGACTGTGTGGCTCTCCCGCCAGGCTCGGCTGCTTATTGGCTGGTGTGTTACAAGTAGACTGTTCAACCTGAATTGAAGGAACTCCAGCTGACAGCATGTTACCTCAAGTCACCAAAGAGGCAAGGGCACGAAAAGTGGTCACTTATGGCAGGGGTGGGGGGTGGGGGGGTGTTGACTGAGTCTCCTTGGAGTCGAATCTGGAAGAAGTGAAGAAAGGAGGTGAGACTGAGAGATGGGGAAGGATCCAGGGCTTCAAGGCTGCTCGGTGTCTAGGGCTTAGAAGTGAGCTGGGGAATGGGGGGGGGAAATGGAGCCCAGGGAGTGATTCAAAGTTGAGATTTGGGGGTGAGGTGATACCAGAGCAAGAAATGGTGGAAGGTGGGTGACCGCAGGGGAGGGCAGAGTTCTTTACGACACCAAGAATCAAAGCAGGGGCTGTGCTGCCTGGTGACAGACAGACAGCAAGCCAGCCTCTTCGAGGAATCTCGGGTGAGCGGTGACTGCCATGGAGAAAAGGGTAAGAGATGACATTCACGGCCGGAAGATTTTACAGGAACAACGACAGAGAAAGAAGCAGTCATAGTGAGGGGACCTAGGAGGAACCCACGCCACATCCAAGCCCACGGTGCCGAGGTAACCGGGGCTAGCACCCCGACCCAGGCAGCGGCCGGAGAAGCAAATCTTCTCCGAGGCAGGAGCACTCCGGGTCCGTCTGTGGTTCGCCACTGGTCCCTAAATTAAACACCTGGGAAACATAGAGCACATAATTGGTCTGGCAAGGAGCCCAGGCTTTGGGCTGTTTTTAACTCCCCCTCAGGAAATTTTGCATGTTCAGCCTGGGGAAAGAGCTAAGAAGCTGAAAGTAGGCTCTGAGAGGATTGGCCCAGCCGTGTTGCAGGCGACAGAGCCAGAAGAAGGCAGAGCGAGCCTTGAGAATTTGAGTCTGAATGAACAAGGTAGGTGTGGGAGGGCTGAGCTCCTCATGGTCACAAGGCCATCGTGGGGAGAGGTCCCACCCTGATGTCACAGAGGTGGTGTAAAGGCTGGAGACAGGGTGGTCCTCCTAACAGCAGTGTCTATATTAAAGGAAAAACCATCAACCAAGTGAACCTCCCAAGATCTGACTGGCTGTTATTAGTGGCTCATCCATTGGATGACATCATGTCTACAAAACAGAGGGATGCTCCATGAGCGAAGCTAACAGGCAAGTTTTGTTGGCAGAATGGCTGAAGAGATACAAAACAGAAAACAGAAACTGCGGTGGTTTGAATGGGCTGCCTCCCCTCCCCCTGAGTCTCTGGCACTTGAATGCTCGGTCCCAGTTGGTGACTGGGGAGGATTAGGAGGCGTGGCCTTGCTGGAAGAAGTGTGTCACTTGGAGCGGCTTGATGGATTCAAGAGACTCGACATAATGAGTCGACTCTCTCTGCCTGGTGCTTGTGGTCCGAGGTGTGAGCTCTCAGCTGCTCTGGTCACCTGCTGCCTGCTGCCTCTGCTCCACCGTCATGGACTCTAACTCTCTGGAACCGTAAGACCAGAATAAACTCTTCTATAAGTTGCCGCGGTCATGTTTCGTTTGTTTTTGTTTTCACTGTGATAGAAAAGTAACCAAGGCAAAAGCTTGACTAGTTATCTCAAAGGTTTTTGTGTGGTTGGATTGGTTTGATTTTTGTTTTTGCGGTGTTTGTTGCTGTTTGAGATAGGGCTTCACGCGGTAGCTCAGGTTAGTCTAGAACTCATGACCCTCCACCTTCACCCTCCTGAGTACCCAGATTGCAGACATGGAGTTCAGTTGTATTCATCTGATGCAGGGGGACTTCCCTATTGTGTCTGCTCAGGTTCATCAAGGCCCTTTAGGCTGGTTGTGATGAATCTCCTGTTTTGGCAAACTGGCCTATATTCTAAGTTTAGCTTACTACAAGGCATTAACACATGAATGACTGTATTCTGGTTGAGTCTGGTCAGTTGGGGCTTAGTACTGCTACTTATACAGTAATAACCACCCATAAATTTTATTTACACCAGGAACTCCAGGGTTTCAGCTTAGCCCCTTGCTTCCTCTTGCCCTTGTTATGCCCAAATTTTGGAGACCCCCAAAAGACCACCATGGAGACTCAATCCCATATATAAAAGCAAAGAGCCTTTATTTTCAAGGTCTGAGCTTGGTCTCTCTGTCTGTCCGACGCAGCGTGAGAGCAGAGAGCAAGGTAGAGTTTTTAATCATAACAGAGTTTGGAGTGAAGGGATTTCCAGGGTTCAGGGCCCTGCTTGGCTAACATTTGTCTAGGGGTATCTATAAAACAAAAATAGCTCTGTGCTAGACTCAGGGACATCTGACCATCTTATTTAACCTTATCTAATGGTTAGAATATTTGGGATGTCAGGTACTTCCCCTTAGATGCTGGCCCTCCCTGGGTGGGATCAGATTATGGCTTTTCCTGGGTCTGGGTGTTGCCTGCCAGTAAGCCTGTCACAGAAGCTGTGTCTGGGCCTCTAAACCTGTCATGGCAGCTGTGTGGTCAAGCTGTTTTGGGATCCCCACACCCTCACCCTCATTTCCAATCCCTGAGAAAGAAGACAGACTCTGATGGGCTATACCACTTCAGAGGTTAGATCACAGACTGTGAGTGCTTGACTATTATGCACAAAGCCCTAGCACTGTACACACACACACACACACACACACACACACACACACACACACGGATTGTAGCTTGTAGAATATAGGTATGGAGACCTATGGTAACTAAAGTGGTGATTCAAATCTTTACTCTAGGCCGTCTTTGTGCCTTGACTTCACCCTCTGGAACATGAAGCTAAGAACGGTGTCCATCTTTGGAGAATTCTGTGGGCGCTGAATGATTCTCTCTCATCGGGATGAAGACACGCCATTCTCATTTTGTTTGTCATTATCCTTCACAGAAACATTTCCCAAATCTACCTATCTCCATCTTTATTTGCACAGCACCAGGCCAAGCCACCATATATGGCCGGAAGTTCTGCAACGGTCTCCTTTGGCAGATACCTGTTACCCACTCCCTACAGAAACTGCTGTCATGCCAAAGCCACAGAGATGAGCCGAGAGTACAGTGCAAGCCATGCCACTCTTCTGCTTAAAACTATCTGTTGATTCCTTCTCCGTGGCATTTAGAATAAAATCCCAAATCCTTATATGTGGATTGCAGCAAAGGCCCTCATGATATGGCCTTTGCCTCCACATCTTCATCCACCAGACCGGCTGCCCTTTCTTTCTCTGACACGCCAAACATATCACTGCTTTGAGCCTTTGCAGCACCCACTGTCCCCTGTCTGGATAGTTTCCCGCCTAATTAAGCACCTGTGGCTACAGTCCTGTCACTCAAGGGCCCTGGTGTCCTGTAGCCTGTGAGCATTCATTTTGCTCACTCCCATTTTAATTCTCTGTGCGGCTCTTACTCTTCTCTTGTTTTGTTTGTTTGTTTCACTTGCTTGTTTATAATTTGTTTTATTTTGGACTTTCCCCAAAGCAGATACTAAGATAAAGATTTAGGTGTGGGGAGTGTGCTTGGAAGATGCGGCCAGAAAGCGGGAACATGAGATAGTACGGTGCTAAGTCCATGGATGGGAGTTACCAGCCACACTACTATACTCCAGGAACTGGATCTCACCAGAACCTCCAAGAAACATACAGAGTATTACCAGAAAGATGGGGCATTAAAACTGTCATCGACCACCCCCCACACCCCCACACCCCTTTAACTCCCCTGACCCCCAGGGTCATGCTTGCCTAAGGTTCACTGCATTTCTGCACTGGAGAAGGTTCTGGCAACCATCCGGGAATCGGAGCATTTGCCACCACTGTGATTGAACTCAGATGTGGACTAAGCGTGTTCTGTGTTAAGGACCAGTGCCTGCTTTGTGATCCATTTCTTCTATTTACTGCAAGTTCACATGTGGGGACACTTTTGGCAGTGTTCACTGATGATCCCAAGAGCTTCGTGCAGGCCTGGCACACAGTAGGTGTCAATGAATGGACTTAACCCTTTCATTGGTTCAGCACTGCTGTCTTCCTTGTCTTTACATGAGGCCATGCTTTCCTGCAGCCGTGCAGATCACACAGGTGACACAGATGGATGATGGGAATTCTGCCTTTCAACCTCACAATTTTTTCTTTTTCTTTTTCTTTTTTTTTTTTTTTTTTTTTTTGAGACAGGGTTTCTCTGTGTAGCTTTGGAGCCTGTCCTGGATCTCGCTTTGTAGTCCAGGCTGGCCTCAAACTCACAGAGATCCACCTGGCTCTGCCTCCCGAGTGCTGGGATTAAAGGCGTGTACCACCACTGCCCAGTGTCACCCTCACAATTTTAACTGCAGGAATCCCCTGACAGTAGCTGTAGTTACTGAGGGACAGTGTTAATCATTCCTGAGCAATACTGAAGAACTTGGTCATCAAGGTTTGTACTAGAAAGATAATGCTTCTGGGTGATGTTTAGAGATTGCCTTGCTCACATGGTGCAAAGGCTTTCCTGTCACGTTAGCAAATATTTAAAGTATTAGCAACAATCAAAAATGCCTAGAGGGAAGCATAAATATCTGCAATTGACTAGGTCTGATGTGGTGAAGGGGGGAATGTCCTAAATTATGGTCTGTTTATTTATTTAGTTAGTCATTTATTCTTGCTTGCTTCCTTTTCTGATTTTGTTTTTGTTTTTTTTGTTTTTTTTGTTTGTTTGTTTGTTTTTAGAGACAAAGTTTCTCTTCTCTGTGTTTACTTCTGGCTGTCCTGGAACTCACTCTGCAGACCAGGATGACCTTGAACTCACAGAGATCCACCTGCCTCTGCCTCCCAAGTGCTGGGACTAAAGGCGTGTACCACCACTGCTTCCTTTTTGAGACAAGGTTTTGAGTAGCCTGGGCTGGCTTTGAACTTATTATGTAGCTGAGCTGACTATGAACTTAAAAATTTTGCCTCAGTCTCCTAAGTGCTAAGATCATGGCATACACCACCACACTCTTCTACATGGCCCCATTTAAAGGGCCCTTCAGTGTGCTCCACAGTTGTGCAAGGGTCAGGAAACCTCTAGTGTGAGGTGCTACATAGTAAGCAGACTTTCCACACCATCCAGTTCCCCTCTCAGCTTCTCCCTCATCTCTGACACCACAGTAGGGAAGCAACAGCAAGTGAGAACATAGAAAGAGATGATAACGGATCTGTCTTACTAAAACTATAAAGAAAGGGGCCACATCAAATGCGGCTGTGGGCTATAGTTTTCTCACCTTTAATAACGACACAGCAGACTTGATGATACAAGACTCAGATCCCAGCAACTAGAGATGCTGAGGCAGGGGGAGCATCAATTCAAGGCCTACCTGGGCAACTTAGTAAGACCCTGTTTCAATATTTTTTAAAAAGTAAAAAGAGAGCTGGGGCTATAGGTCTAGAGTATTTATTTATCAGGCCTGTTCAGCCATGAGGTGGTGGTACAGGCTTTTAATCCCAGCACTCGGGAGGCAGAGGCAAGCAGATCTCTGTGAGTTCAAGGCCAGCCTGGTCTACAGACTGAGTTCCAGCACAGCCAGGACAACACGGAGAACCACCCACCCTCACAAAAAAAGAACTTTGGTTCAATGCCTAGAACCCTAAAAAGAACATATGATAATCTTCTGATCTCTCAAGAGAAAATGGAAATAAATACATTTAAGTAATTTCCCCCAAATAAGATATAAATATCAATAACTGTAATGTCCATGACATGTGAAAAGCAATGCAGCTCAAAAGAGAAAAAAAAAAAAATGCCTCTGAACCAGGAAGCATTTCTAAAGACTTTCCAGAAAAGATACCGCTAGCTGAGGTTTAGAAAGAAAGCAAGGTTTCTCCTGTGACAGTGGTGTGTGGGAACATTCCCAGCAAAGGCAACCAATGGTCTGAATCACAGCATCCCTGTGCATAAGGCACAATGGGGGAGAAGGTGGGAACAACAGGAGGAGGACCAAGAGGGTACCAAATGGGTTAGACGTTGCAATAGAGACCCTGGGCAGTGGGTTCAGAAGTACTCTTTAGAAAGACTGGAGCTAGCAGAGACCATTCAACACGGTGGCATGGAGCAGTCAAAAGGAAGAGGCCACTAAAGAGACCGTTGTCACAGTTTCTGTCAATTAGCCCCAGCTCCGCAGGGTTCTAGCTCTAAACTAGAATCACAGAATGCCAGAGCAGAGAGGAAGCTCAGAGGCCAAGGCAATTCCATCCCCGGTGACAGATGGGAGAGATGCAGCTAAGGAGATGTCAGATGCTAGGTCACGCAGTAAGCAAGAACAGAGGCAAGCCTGGTGCCTGTGTTCCCACGAGCACTCGAGCCACCGTGCTTTGGAGATATACACTCTCACAAAAGAAAAGCAGAGGTTCGACTGCATGTGTCCCAGAGCAACCCAACGTAAAATTTGAAGACAGCAGGAAAAACACACGCAAGAAATTCAGTAAAACAAAACTTACTGATTTTAATATATAACTACTTTTTTTTCCTTACCAAGACTCTAGTATGCCAACACAAAGATGGAGAAAAGACAGTTTTTAGGGGCTGGAGAGTGAGCTCAGTGTTTAAAAGCACTTGTTACTCTTGCAGAGGACCAGGGTTCAATTCCCAGTACCCACATGGTAGTTCAGAACCATCCAAGTAACTCCAGTTCCAGGGGGATTCAATGCTCTCTTGTGGCCTGTAGCATTAATTTTAAATGGTCTTATTAATAAAATCAAACCGGAGGCCAGTTATTGGGGTGAATGATGGAAGATCAGAGAAGCAGAACAAGCCACAGCTACCTCACCTCGCCAGTTCCTCAGCTGATCCTGTTTTCTCAGACTTGAAGTCTCTGAGTCCTCATCCAAACACATATCAGCTGAACTGCTTCTCGAAAGCCTGAAAGCTTACCCAGCCTAGTTCCTGGTTTTTACGCCTTATATACCTTTCTGCTTTCTGCCATTACTTCCTGGGATTAAAGCCTCTTGTTACCACGCCTGGCTGTTTCCAGTGTGGCCTTGAACTCACAGAGAATCAGATGGATCTCTGCCTCCCAAGTGATAGGATTAAAGGCATGTGTGCCACCATTTTCTGGCATCTATATCTAATGGCTGTTCTGTTCTCTGACCCCAGATAAGTTTATTAGGGTGCACAATATTTTGGGGAACACAATACCACCACAGTGGCCTCTGAGAGCACCAAGCATGTATGTAGTATACATACATACATGCAGGCGAAACACTCAGACATAGAATAAAATGAATAAATATAATTTTAAAAATTTAAAGGACAACTTCTAAAAGGAGAAATAAAAGTGACAGACACTCATACACTTTATTAAATTGTTTTTTATTTTTATTTCTGTTCATGTGTGTATATGCATGTGCTTGTGTCTGTGTCTGTGACTGTGGATGTAAGTTCCCACAGAGACCAGAAGAGGGTGTTGGGTCCCCTGGAGTTGGAGTGACAGGCAATTATGAGCTGTCCAATATAGGTTCTGGGAACAAACTCCAGTCCTCTGAAAGAGCAGTATGTGTTTTTCACATTCTTAATCACTCAGCCATTTTTGCAGCTCTAGATACTCATATTTTTAAAACTCTACTTTTGCTGGAGAGCAAAGAAGTATGAACAAAAATGGTGTGTTTAATTTCACAACCAATCTGAGAGAAAGTTGAAAAACATACATTTTATATTTATATATTTGATATGTAAAATATATATTTCACATATATTTTTATATTCCATATAGTCATACATTTCACATATATTTTTATATTTCACATAGTTACATATATTTCATATATTCATATTATATTTCAAATGGCAACTTATACTTGGTGAAGGTCCTTTTCTAACATGGTGTTTGATGGAATTTGTTTTGGTACAGCTTTTTTTTTTTTCCGAGACAATTTCTCTGTGTAGCTTTGGAGCCTGTCCTGGAACTCACTCTGTAGACCAGGCTGGCCTCGAACTCATAGAGATATGGCTACCTCTGCCTCTCGAGTGCTGGGATTAAAGGAGTGCACCACCACCGCCCGACTTGGTACAGCTTTTTTGGAGGTCAATTTATGATCTGTCTCAGAATTCACAAAGCTGTTAAGAACTTTATGTAAAGTCAGGATTTCCCAAAGACTTAGATCCAATACAGCATTGAATGAATGAATGATTACACAGAGTTGGCTCAACCGTTTATGGATGCTGATAGGTTCCAGGTAGATGGTAAAGTTCCACAAGTACTAGGGCTAAAAACAGGACAGCCCATGGTGGAGTTATGTTCTGAGTGCTAGAGACTCCAGAAGAGACAAATAATAATAATAATAATAATAATAATAATAATAATAATAATAATAAGTTTTGCTTAGACTCGGAGAACAGGAGAAAGCAATGTCTCAACTCAAAGGCGCCTAGGCAGAAAAGATTCTTTCCAATCCAGCCTTTCTATTCTATTTTAGACATTAAATTGGCTGAGTAAAAGGAGATTGTGGGGGCTGGAGAGATGGCTCAGGGGTTAAGAGCACTGGCTGCTCTTCTGGTCCTGAGTTCAATTCCCAGCAACCACATGGTGGCTCATAACCATCTACAATGAGATCTGGTGCCCTCTTCTGACCTGTAGGCATACAGGCATGCAGAACACTGTATACATAATAAATAAATAAATCTTTTTTTTTTTTAAAGGAGATTGTTTTCTTCAGTCTACTGAGCCCAAGGTTACTTTCTGCCAGAAAGACTCCTAGCCACATGCAGAATAATGTTTGATTAACTATGTAAGCATCCCAATGCATGATCAAGCTGACACACAAAATCAACCATCACACCTTTGATCACAGCAATTTTCACTTCTAGAAATGTGTCCTCAAGAGTTCCCAGCCAAACTGGGATATAGAATGAGACTGTCACAGGAAGAAAGGAAGGAAGGAAGGAAGGAAGGAAGGAAGGAAGGAAGGAAGGAAGGAAGGAAGGAAGGAAAAAGAACAGGCAGCTAGCTTTAGGATACATTTGACAAAACCTGAAACATGTGGCTTTAACTATTTTAAATTTTATAGATGTGGCTTTTGCTGCATGTCTGTCTGTGGACCCCATGTGTGCAGTACCCTCAAAGGCCAGAAG